GAGGAGCATGGGTTCTAGGCACGCAGGCTTCAGTATTTGTGGCACTTGGACTCAGTTGTGGCTCACGGGCTTAGTTGCTCCGCAGCATGTGGGATCTTTCCGGACCAGGGATCGAACCTGTGTCCCTGCATTGGCAGGTGGATTCTTAACCACTGTGCCACCAGGGAAGTCCTTCTCACTGTAGTTTTGGTTTGCATTTCCCTATTGATTAAAGATGTTGAGCGCCTTTTCCTGTGCTTATTGATTATTTGTATATCTTTTTTTTTTTGACTGCACTACACAGCTTGTGGGATGTTAGTTCCCTGACCAGGGATTGAACCCGGGCCACGGCAGTGAAAGTGCCGAGTTCTAGCCGCTGGACCAGCAGGGAATTCCCAGTATATCTTATTTGGAAAAAATGTCTATTCAGATTCTTTGCCCATTTTTTTTTTTTTTCCTATACGTGGGCCTCTCACTGTTGTGGCCTCTCCCGTTGCGGAGCACTGTCTCCGGACGCACAGGCTCAGTGGCCATGGCTCACGGGCCCAGCCGCTCCGCGGCATGTGGGATCTTCCCGGACCAGGGCACGAACCCGTGTCCCCTGCATCGGCAGCTGGACTCTCAACCACTGCACCACCAGGGAAGCCCTCTTTGCCCATTTTTTAATTGGGTTATTCATCTTGATATTGATAAGTTGTAAGAGTTCTTTGTGTATTCTAGATACTAGACCCTTATCTGATATATGATTTGCAGGTATTTTCTCCCATTCTGTGGGTTCTCTTTTCATTTTCTTGGTAGTGTTTGAAGCACAAAATTTTAGTTTTGATGAAGTCCAATTTAATTATTTTTTCTTTGGTTGCTTTTGCTTTTGGTGACATATCTCAGAAACCATTGCCCAATCCAGGGTCAAGAATGCACCCACTTTCTTCCAAGAATTCGATAGTTTCAGCTCTTACATTTCAGTCTTCACTCCATTTTGATTTAATTTTTCTCTATGGTACGATTCTTTTGCATATGGATAGCTTGTTATCCCAGCACCGTTTGTTCAATATGACTTTCTTTTTAACTTTTTTCCCCCTTTATTTACCATCAATCCAAATACTTATATTAATAGTGGCTGCAGATGTGCAAGGCATATAAGACTGTGGAGTATACAGTTTACAATAAGAACTTGTCTTCCCTTTGGGTCTTACATCTAGTTGAGATTGATGGTGGCATATATACATGAAATCGTTAAATAGTGTATGATTCCATGCCAGAGGAGTGGTGGAGAGAGCAGAGTTCATTAGGAACTGAGAAGACTGAGTAAGTCTGTGGGCAGAGAAGTTCATAGAGAAAATAAAGCCATTGACCTTACATAAGGTTTAGATACAGAAAGACCAGAAATGGTCAGAGCAGAGCTTACTGAAGCAATTAGATTCTTTTGGCCCCGAGTATGTATGGGACACCTTTTAGACAGATTTAAAATTTTTTCTGGATTACCAAGTATTCTCTTAGCCTAAACTGTGTTATTAGAAATTGGAAGCACCTGATATATACTTTGTGCAGTTGTATTTAGAAGTAAGGGTAGTTTCTATTTTGGCCACCCCACATTGGATTGGGTACCTTATGGGCACTATCTCCAGTTTACTTATCTTTTTACTTCTCTCAGTGGTTGTCGTTGAGTCAGACTTATTATATTGCCTCTTCACAGTCCCTACAATCTTCGAGATTTCTTTTCTTAAAACTCTGGAAAAACTATTCTTGTCATGGTCACTGATTATTTCTGTATTGCAGGTCAGTGGTCAACTCTGGGTCCACATGTTACTTAATACATAGCAGCACATTTAATGCAGTTGGTTACTCCCTCCTCCTTGGCACATTTTCTTCACTTGGCTTTCCGAACACCATATTTCCTTGATTTTCCTCCCACACCAGAGTTAGTATTTCAGTAGTCTTTGTTAGTCCCCTTTTCCAGTTCTACTTTGTCTTGGTCTCATAAACTCGGAGTTCCCAGGACTCCCTCCTTTTATCACTTCTGTGTGTCTGCCCCGACTCTCTCTTGTTGATTTCACTTAGTATCATATGCATCCCAGTAACTCACAAATTTGTATCCAACCTTGACCTTATTCTTGAACTCCAGGTTTATATCTCCAACTCACTCTTACACATATGCACTGGGGTGACTACTCAACCTCTCAGCTTTCACAAGCCCCAAACTGAACTCTTTTATGTCTCCCTCCCCCTCATAACTGCTCAGCCTTTAATCTTTTTCATCTGAATTGAAGACAGCTTTGTCTTTCTGGTTGACTTGGGGTGAAAACCTTGGAGTCATCTGTGAGTCCTTTTCTTCCCTCATACCCAGTCAAAATCCTGTTGGCTTTGCCCTCAGAATATGTCCTGAATACAACCACTTCTCACCACCTCCACACCTAACACCCTGGGCTGAGCCACTGTTCTCATCTGGATTGCTGCCACAGCCTCCTGATTCATCGCGTCTTGTACTCCTATCATCAGCCAGAATGACTATTAAAATGTTACGTCAGTTTATGTAGCTGTTCTGCTCAAAACCTTGCAATGGGCATTCCTATCACTCAAAGAAAGTAAAAGGAAAAGACTTTACAGTACCAGAAAGGCCCTACAAGATCGGGACCCCTGCCCTGGTCTCCTGGGCTTCCTCTTCTACTGATTTCCTTTGCCAGAAATCTACTTTAGCCATACTGGCCTCTTCGCTATTTCTTGAATAATCTAGGTATATTTCTGAAATAGGGCTTTGTCCCCCTCAGTCTGGAATGCTTTCCTCTGTAGGGGAGGAAAAATAATTTTCTTTCTACCCTTGCAAGTTCTTGGCTGAGAATACTATATTAAAAGACAGATTAACCAGTGAAAAACAGACAGTTTGTTAACACGTATACCTCATGTGTATGTGGGAGATTCTCAGGGAAAAATGAGTAACTCAAAGAGGTGGCTTAGAATTCAGGCTTAAATACCACCTTCAGCTAAAGACAAAAGAAAGGTTGGTATGGGGAGGCCAGTAATGGAGAGGTTACCAGGAAAAGCACAATAAACAAGAATAAGGCTTGTTTTACAGATCTAAGTCTGAGCTGTCATCATGATAAAAAAATTCTTTAGAGGTTTAGAGTCATTCTTCTCTGCCTGGTACAGAGAGGGAGATACCCTTACAAATGGAGATTTATTTTATAAATTTAAGTTTCCTTTACCAAAGGGTAACTTCTACTCTGTTTTCAGAGCTTCTGTGTCTGCTATTTCTCAGAATAATCAGCTCAAAATCATTCTTACGCCAAAGAAGCTATTTTGGGGTGGCATATTCTGCGACCCTTCACCCCACAGAGGTATCCACATGGCTAATTCCCTCGCTTCTTTCAAGTCTTTGACCAGATATCGCTTTCTCAGTGAGGCCTACGATGTCCACCTGTTTAAGATTTCAATTGCTTAAGCCACATACACTCCCCATTTGTTTTACTCTGCTTCCCCCCTCCCCTGCCAGTGGCACGTATCCTTTTTTGTGGTACTGTATAATTGACTTACTTTGTGTTTATCTTCCTCACCAGAAGGTAAGTTTTAGGGCAGAGATTTTTGCCTGGACACTTCTATACCTGTCATATAATTGAGTGCTCAATAAATAGCTGTTGAATGAATAAACATCCTAAGGCTACTGTACTTTCAGGGTTTTTTTTTTTTTTTTTTTTTTTTAATTTGGCTGCGCTGGCTCTTAGCGCAGCCAAATTTCTGATGTAAATTAAAGTTTAAGAACCACCAGTATGAGCAGGATTTCAGGAGCCAGGTCTGTTGCTTACAGGTATGGATGTGTAGATCTATGAGGTAATTGACAAGTATAACTGAATTTGTTCTCTCTTGGTTCTTCTCTTTCTCTTCCTCCTCCCTATTTCCTGAGGAAGTAACACAGGGACAGAGGATATAAACTGTAGTAACTTCCAGTTGATTAATTGTGTGTGTCAGGGTCCCCAAGACTACCTTTAGGTTCTGGTGATTACCAGGAGGATGCACTGGACTCTGCAGGTAGTCACACCCATACTTATGGCTAACATTTATTACAGCAAAAAGATACAAGGCAAAAATCAGCCAAGGGAAAAGTCACATGGGACATAGTCCAGAGGAAACCAGGAGAAAGATTCCAGGAGTCCTCTCCCAGTGGAGTCACACAGGGCACGCTTAATTCCTCTAACATCAAATCCTAACGAGTGTGAAGTGTTACCTACCAGGGAAGCTCATTTAGAGACACAGTATTCAGGTGTTTACTGGGTACTAGTCATACAGGCACCCTCTGTCTAGCAGATACCGAAAGTCCAGGGATGCCAAGAAGAAAAGTAGTTCAGCACTAACCACATTATACAAACAGTTTAGGCACAGTGAGCCATTCTTAACCAGTTAGGGTGGTAGGAACCCTCCGGTTCCAGGCCTGCTTGCAAGGTTGACCCTTGGCTGGCATCTGGGAACTTGGATTTCAGGAGGGTTCCTACCCCCTAACTGGTTAAGAATGGCTCACTGTTGCTTACAGGTAGGGGTATGTTAACTCTTTTCTGCCGTGTTTCTCTTTTCGCTGTTTTCATCATGGTATCCAAAGAAGTTTGTTTTTTCTTCTTTATGTAGAACATAAAGCATTTAGATTTATCTCTCTTTAGGAAATTTAGTAATAATCAAAGTGTGAGAATGACTTGGACAGTTTAAGTGGATTGAATAAGTGAGTTTATTCATGTAGGCATATTTTCTGAAAAATGCCTTCACAGTATTATTGTCTCCTGATTTTAGTAATTACAAAAGTGATTTATTTCATGGTAACATTTTAAAATTTATTCCAGACAATAAAAAATTAAAATAGCTTTCTTAGTATTCACTTGAAAAATATTATCTATGAATGTGACCATCTGTTCAAAGCAGACACTGATTTTTCTTCACTCTACTTCCATCTTTCATGTTCCAAAGGGCCAACTTGTAACTTGCCATCTTTGGATTTGCTTTTGTGAATAACCAGTCTTCTTCCTTTCTTTCTTTCTTTATAGGTCAAGATGCTGAATTATCAGGGACGCTTTCACTTGTTTTGACGCAGTGCTGTAAGAGAATAAAGGATACTGTTCAAAAATTGGCCTCAGACCACAAAGACATCCACAGCAGTGTTTCTCGGGTTGGAAAAGCCATTGATAAGGTATATGGTGTTGAAGGGAGCGTCTGGTGTTGCTTTAGCATCATCCTTCATCTCCTGTCACTGCTTCAATAACATTAGCTTTCTCAGATTATTTTATGTTGTTTCTTTTACCCTTGCTTTTAATAAACTTTTGCAGATCTGGTTTTACTATGTTAAAGTTCCCTGTTGCTGTTATTTAAAAAACAAAAAGAAAACAAACCAAAAACCTTCTCTTTTTACAGCCTTGTTTTTTACCCATTTGCTTAAATGATTACCGCTCCTAGTGTCATGATGAGTAAATTTCCAAGAAATTTTAACTTACTGTGAGGGAGTTTGTTTATAGAAGTAACTTTTCCTACTTCCTGAGTAATTCCCAGGCCATGACTCTGCCTCTGTTATGGGATGATTAGGATAACACGCTTGCATCTGTCTCCCCTGCATAATTCTAACTCTTGTTGTCTTCCTGTAAGCATGCTAGTCACTTTTCTCCAGTGTTGCTTTCTGTGTGAGTGGGTTGGTTGCTAGCTAGCAAGGCCTGTCGCTTGTATTGGGTGATTTTCCTTTTTTAATTTTTATTGGAATATAGTTGCTCTTGTGACATCTCTTAAATCTTTAACTTGGTGGTTTACTTTTAAGCAATTTTCACTTTTAGCACTGGGCCAATTTTGCCCTTGGAGTTCATAGTCCTAGTGGTGACTAAGAGAAGTGGCCTAAAGTTACTGTGTGATACCTCTGACTCTTTCAGAGGAGTTTGAAATAGTCAAACGCTGGGGAGTTTGTGACTGGTTATGGACATTTTTGTTCACACATTGTAAACTTCCCGGAGGGTAGGAGGAACTTTTGGGGAGAGCTGTTTGTAGTAAAACCGGTCTTATGAGCTGCTCCATATGTATACATGAGAACAGTAGCTGTAACGTAGAAACTCGTGGAATCCAGAGAGTGGCTCTAACTCGTGGGTAAGTCTGTTAGAAATAAGCCTACAGAGCAGTAGTTTTGAAAAGCTAGGCTCGAGGCAGCCTCAGTGAGCACTAGATGCTTGTAAGGAGATGTGGTTAACTGGTAGGTACGGTATGACAGGACTGTGAGTGGTGGGGCTCGGGGGACTGTTTGGGTAGCTGTGCCTTCAGAAGTGTTAGTGACCTTTTGGAGAGCTCTCACCACTCCCACAGCGCTGTGGGCTTCGCCTCAGCCAAAGAGGCCGAGGAGTGGTGTTGGCGGCAGCAGCCTCATTTTTGGGTCGGTGATGGCCGTTGCCAGCAGAGGCTCGGAAGCCAGCAAGTGTTCTCTGAAATAGCTTTGAGGTTGTGATGGCTGTTTGTTAATTGCAGGGGAGTGAACACAGCTTTGGAAGTGGCTTCAGCCTCAGGCTTCTGGGGGCTGTGGCACTGGATGCGGTCAGCTGGTACGTGAAGTGATTGTTGGCGTGTACTGCTTAAAGACCTCCTGGAATGGTGATGGGGGCACTTTAGAGGTGTTCTTAAATCACTGTGGGTGAGGAACCCTCTGTTTCTTTAGGGTGAGGTAACTACTGGTGGTGTTTAGGAAGCTTCGGATTTTGGTGGCTGACAGTGACCAAGGCGTTCTAATGATGGTTCGGACCCCAGGAGGTTCCTGGAGGCATTGACCACCAGGCTGCCTGCAGTTATGCCAGTGTCGGGGGGCAGCAGGACCAGAACATGCCATGACGGTGAGAATAGCTGAAACTTCCAAAGCAGCCAATCAGAGAAAGCGTCTGAGAAAAGAGCCCAGATTCTGGGAATAGGTAGGGACGGCCTCAGCAGTCATAACTCAAGTGTGCGGACTACTGGCCACCAAGATTTGGAACATTTGGGCAAATAATTCAGGAGCTTTGCATTCTGCCACTGGTAGGATGGCCACGTGTCCTCATTTCCTAGCTTATGTCTTGTCGCTTCATAATTATCATCAGAACCCTCTTTTACTCTTGTTCCCCAGCTACTGGTGACTTGCTAAACATGTCTTCCTCCTGATCCGGCAAGTCTTTATAGATATTCATAAGGGTTATCATATTTTGGCTAATCTTTGAGACAAAGCATTTAAATGTATTTGGTGCTAGAAATGGAAGTATCTTTTTGAGACTGGATAACAAGGGAACACATAGTGAGTAATCTATATTCTGACTTTTTTAGGGGGGATGTGTTTGAGGTGAATGTTGCTAATTAAATATTTTAATTTACTCATTTCCCTTTTGAAGACATTTTTCAGGTACTTGGAAATTATAAGGGCCTTTTCAAGTAATTTCTTTTTTTTTTGGTAGGTTTTATGTTCCTGTGAAAGTAGTTTAGGTTCTAGGTGACGCGGATTCTAGATTCTTCTGATCTATCATATGAAATAAGATCATTAAGTTGATACTGGTGCTATTTGTTGAATTATAGTCCTGCGGCACAGCAGAAAGCTTGGATCTCTTAGCCCAGTTCGCTAACATTTTCCAGTGCATTCTCTCCCCTTTTTTTGGGGTGGGAGGGGGGCATCTACTTAGCCTCAGCTGTAAACGAAGTTGTTACCCTGCTAGAACTACCTAGACCTTGTCCATGAGCTTCCCATGCGTATGAGGAACTCTGTTGGCTGTTGTTGTCAAGACTCCTTTGCCTTGTAAAGTCTTCGTGTCCTTCTAGTTTGCACCTGGTAAATTTGTGCAAGCTTCCGGGGCCGCCTGCTCTAAAGGCTGGGTGGACTTGTGTGGACTGGTAAACAAACAGGATGAAGCTGAAGCCACTGTGGCTCAAGCCTCTACACAACAAACAGCCTTGAGTAATAAACTGGAATGTCATCCAGCGGCCTGTGAGTACCATGTTATGGACACATGTTCCCACCCTGCTGAGAGGAGGACAGTAAAGAAGCCGGTGACTCCTTTATGAGCAGGTTGGTTGTTGAGTGAGGAACTTCAGTAAATTTTTGACATGCTTAAATGATTTATTTTTTCCTTTAATGTTTCAGTGCTCCTTTTAAAGTTCTTTAGTCATCACTTCGCTGAAAATGTACACAGAAGAGAAGTTTATGATGTTAACCAAGACATTTTCTGGTTTTTAATTATTGCCAACATAAAAAGTTATTGAAGATTTCTGCTTTAACGTGTTGACTATTTCCAGATGCTTGTAGTATAATCATAGTTTATAATATATAATAACAACAACCATTGGGTTTTGTGGTAAAATTTTTTTAAATGTGTTTTTAATATTTATTTTATAATTTTTAAATTCCTTCTCTATTTTAAGAAAATCTAGAATTCTCTCCTGTTTCGTGTATTTTATTTAGTATTTTACTTAGTCTTTTGACTTTTTTAAAGTTTAATTCCTAAGAAAAGTCAATAAAAACAATTATTGCTTTAGACTCATGTATGTGTGTGTGTGTGTGTGTGAGAGATAGTGCTAAGATTTTAAAGTGCCTAAAATTTGCTGTGGGACAGTGGAAGGTGAAACATACAGTTCTTTAGAAGATTGTGGTCTAGTTTGTTCATGTAAGGGTGCTTTTTGTACACATAAAAGAGCTGGAAAGATTCCGAGGCAACATAAAGTAAGTTTGCATAGGATGGACTCTGCTTACTATAAAAAGGAAAGGGAAGGGCTTCCCTGGTGGCGCAGTGGTTGGGAGTCCGCCTGCCGATGCAGGGGACATGGGTTCATGCCCCGGTCCGGGAGGATCCCGCATGCCGCGGAGCGGCTGGGCCCGTGAGTGGGGGGGCCGCGGAACCAAAAAAAAAAAAAAAAAAAGGAACGGGAAGATCATTATGCTCTTGATTAATCAAAGGTTTCTGGAGTTGATATTTTAAATGTGATTTGGAAGAATGGGTAAGATGTAGGGCAGCAGAGCAGTGAGGTGTGGCTCTTCTGTGGCACCCAGAAAGGAGCTGAACAGCTGAGAAAATGCTTGATTCCTGTTAAAGACTCTCAGGTACTGACTGGATTGGAGCGGCTGCCCTCGTCAGGACTAGGACAAGATCAGGCTAGGGACAGGCCAGTGATGGAAGGCGTCAGGATTTGTTCCAAGGAGATGAGGGGGAAAGGGAGGGAACGATGAAAGCATTTGAGGATTTGCTTGCCTTCATTAGATAGAATGAAATTAGACTAAGGAGAAGTCAGGAGTAGGAAAATACAGCTCTCACTTAATGGAGTGTTGACCATGTTCCAGATACTGAGCTGAGAGCTTTATATACATTTATAGCCCATGATGCAGGTACATTATTCCCATTTCACGTATGAGGAAACTAAGATTCAGAAATACTAAGTAACATACCCCAGGTGTACAGCTTGGAAGTGGTGAATTGATGTTTGGGAAAAGGTATCACTCAAGAGTTTGTTCTTAAACACTGTGCTGTGCTAGGAAATCAGTTAGGCCATTGCAGGGATGGTAATGTTTTAAGGGGGAAAATCTTCTGCCACTAGATGGAGCATCTACACGGGTGAGGCAACATGATGATTGTTTAAAAAAATGGAGTAAGGCTATAAAAAGTGAAATAGAGAATATTTTAAGATAGTTCTGGGTGAGCCGTTTGGAACTGCCTTTTATGCAGGTATGACTGGGGTATGAGAGGAGAAAAAGATACTGGCAGGAGAAAATTTGGGGGCTTTAGCCTTAAAAAGTTATTTGGTTTGAGTGGGTGAGGTTGGATAAGTACTGGCTCTAAAGTTCTTACTATGTAGTGGATAAATCCTTGTAGTAGAGAGACGTTAACGAAGGAAGGAGATTAAGGAAGGAAATGAAGGAAATTAAAAAGGCTAGAAAATTTAGTCTAAGATGAAAAAGCTAAGTTTTGAGTTTTGAAGTATAGGCAGATAATTTGATTTATGTTTTGGGTGGAATTTTTAGAATTATTGAAAAGGAATGGTGAACAAAGTTATAAAAAGACAACAGTGATTAGAAGCTAGGAACAAACTCCCTAAAAATAAAACATGTCAAACTAACCGCCTTCCCCCCCGCCCCGCCACCAATTACTAGCAAGGCATTTAATAAAAATCTCATATTTTTGTGGTCAGGATGGAAGCTGTTCTTTTTAAATTATGTGG